TGTACAGATGCCACAAAGTTGAAAGGGTCAGAGACCAGGAGAGTAGAATTTGCTTCTCCAACATTTTTTAATACGTACTCCTATTCAAAAAACTCAGCTCTATGCATACTGTCTCCAGTTCCCTTCCTTTCCTTCCTTTCACAGAAATCTTCAAGGCTTCTTTCCCTTTATATCCCATAATGTTTGTGGCTGCCCCTGACTCAGATCCCTTCCAAGGGAAAATGGGCATTACATACTTTCAAACAAATTCTTTCATAGACTTTTTTGAGAGCAGCTTCCCTTTAGGTTGGTGCCATTTATGCATAAGAAGTTTTTGTCCATATAGTGCTGTGGGTATGAACATTAGGTCTAGAAAGCATAATTGCCTGTCTTGCAATCTGAGTGCAGCACAATACAGGGAAATAATTAACAAATCAGTCACCCGGCCAAATGCTAGTATTTGCATTTGCCATTGATATAGAGAGGGCAAAACTGCTGATGGAAATACTTTTCAATTTTATTGCAGGCACAGAGGATATCCTGAGAGAGGGAAAGTAGGTCTCATCCTAGCCCCAAAGTGATGGCAGTTATATTTGAAGTACTATGACACGTTCAGGGTTTTGTCTTTGTGATTCCCATTGGAATCACCAAGACTGTTTTCTGATGCCTCATGGCTGGGCTTAGAGAATTAAGCCATGGTATCACCAGACTCAAGATTCTCTGTGCAAGACTTACCAACAAGAAGAAGCTTCTGTTTGGCTACTTAATTCACTGTTTAGCTGAAGATTTAACTGACACATTACTGATCTTAGCACTTATTAAATAGATACCTCAAAGTGATAACCATGAGTAATATTTGTCTGTCTCGTCCCTTCCCTTCCCACCCCCTGCTCCTGCCAAATTGTCAGGAATAATATTGCATTAAAACAGATATATATCAGAAGCCCAATTCTATGTGCTCTATTGTTTTGCATCCTGCTATGTGCTCACCTGCTCTGCTCCAGAATGACTTCATTTCAGTTAGGTAATAAGTGAAGTATGTAAAATGTTTTCTTGGCATTTCTAACCCTAATCTAATCTGGTTTATTACGTTTCCATGCACTTGACCCCTTTTCATTTTCTAGTGGTTGAAATTTTAAGGTACAATTATTAAGATGCTCAACAAGGTATAAATAAGTGCTCATGCATAATAAAATGAAAGCAGAAGCTTACTGTAAGAAAATAAATGTTGATTTTAGCTGTCCTGAGAATTAGAAAAGAGAAGACAGGTTCACTGGTGAAGATATGAAATATAAAAAAAGCCACATAAAGATGAAAAAGAGCTATTACCTCTTAGATCACGTCACCTCTGCAAGCACAGTATTGTGCTTCCCTGAGGACACGGGTTAAACTGATAGTTCATTACAGAACCCTTTTGCAGCCCTTCCTTAGGCAGGCAGCTCCCCTTAGTGCAGTTGACTCCTAATGAACCTTTGTTGTTGAGTGCAAAAGTACTAGGATTGAAGTCAAGTGCTCTTCAATTAAAGATATATTTAGGTAGATGGGAACAAGTAGAAACTTTGACAGTGATATCAGCAGTGCTATCAAAATTGAACTGCTTTGCAAAACTACACCTATCTTGGTTTTGAACTTCGTTAAGAAAGAGAACCACTATTGAGGGGGAGGGAAGATGTATCTGTGGAAAAGGGAATTAAAAACTACCAGAATGATGAATCTTTAAAACTGTTTCAAGTTTTCATTCTGAAATGAGGGCTTTCTTTCCATTTTTAACTTTGAAAATGTAGAAGAAAATGTCTGAAAGTTGAAATCAAATTAATTGCTTCAGAGAAACAGTGTCGATGGAATATTTCAACATCAAATCCAAAATTATCAGTCATTTGTGAAATTTGGACTTTGATCCTTCTCATAGCCCTACTAAGCAAGCATACTCCCTGAGTGTTTGGATTAAAATAATTTTGCAATCAATGGATTAAAATGTAAACCTGGACACACAGGTTTACAACAGCACCACCATCACTTGAAAAGCAAACTTATATTGCTGCAGGATTTGATTGGTCTAGCAAAAGAAGGAGGAAAAACATTGTCCTGAATTTGCAGATGTTTTTCCCAGAGGAGTAATGCCTCTTATGTAAATAATCACTTTATTCTGTAAGTGCATACACTTTCATTCCACAAATTGGCTTCACCTCATCTGCCCTTTTCTCTGGTGCAAGCCTCTGCTAAATCTAGCAAGCCTCATCATTCTGCTTTTTAATATCAAAGCTATAAACATCCAGGGCAGAGTTATGTAGGAACCTCATTGTTTTAAGGTAACATCTTGAAACCTCAAAGTCAGTGTGAAATAAAAATCTTGATTGGATAGCACTGTGAATGACAGATGTAGCTTATCAGTAACATAGAAGAAATATAGCTTTTTAACATCATCTTTTGTGGTCAGGTGATGAGGGAGGAAAAATAGACATACAATAAACAACCGAAGTGATGGAGTAGTCTGGTAAATAAATTCCTTTGCAGCAATACAAATATTTTCCAGTTATGCATCAAACCTGCAGTAAGAATATGGTTGGTTGTTCTTCCTCTGTACCTGACAAACAACATTTATGATGCTGAGCAGCTTTGGCACTACAATTCATGATCAGTGCATAGAGCAGAGGGGACAGTTAGTGTGTGCTCTGGGCAGCTGCAGTCTCCAGTATGGCCGGGTCCCCCCACGTAACTTCAGAGAAAGAACTGAGTGTACCCAGAAATGACAGTAATGGAAGGAGGATCAGAATCTCCCCCTAAATCTTTGTCTGTTCAAAAGTTGTCACAGTCAATTTTCAGCAACTCTCACTGTGTTCTGGGCTGCAGCTGATTTATTTTTTTCTTTCTCTTTTTGCACTCTCACTGTGTTCTGGGCTGCAGCTGATTTATTTTTTTCTTTCTCTTTTTTGCTTTCATGTCTTTCATGATACATGTGCCTGTCTCATGAATATGATTTATTGTTTCTCTTTTTAAGCTAAACCAGTTGGAGGAAGGATTCAGCACTCACTCCTGAGGGAAGATCAGTTAGTAACTCACCCAAGGAAAGTTTGTTCTAGGCAGTTAGCGATTAGCTCTTGTTCTTAGAACTTGGAGGTATATATTTCTCTGCTAATTATGTCTTCGGGAGTATATTGTGATATATTCCAGCTGTGAGTATCAACGTTAGTGCCTTCTACAATTTTCTAGCCTCTTGTTTCAGGAATACTTTGTCAGTGAATTTCACAAGTTAATTACCTGTTGTTTAACAAAATGCCAGTTTTCATTGTCTCCTCAAAATGTATTCATTTTCATCATATCTCGTTGTGAGGTAGGCATCTATTAAATCATCTTTGTTTTCAGCTCTCAAAGTGGCATAATTTCCATATCTTCTATATGGAAATCTTCCAGTTTCTGTAAGGATTACTCCTTTTTCCTAAGATTTTTGTTTGTTTGCTCCTGCTTATGGAAATATTTTATGTGTGGCGACTAAAGCTACTTACAGAGCTCAGTGTGAAGCTAAGTATTAATGCAGGGATTGCCCTGGGGGTGAGCCCAGTTTTTGTCTAGCTCAGCTTTCTGTCTCTGATAGATGCCACTGGTAAGTACTTCAGAGGAAAGTGCAACACAGCCCTCAGTAAGAAAATAATGAACCTAGCACAGAAGGTCTTCCACTATCAGTCTTATAAGTTGTGCCATGAAAAATGAGAACCTGTCTGTCTCCTTATTTTTACCCAATCTAAAGCAGCTGTTGGGGTTTTTGTTTTAAGTAAAAATATCTAAACCTTTCTGATATCCTGCTATTCTCATAGTCTCAATGATGTCTTGTAGCAATGAGTTTCACCTCAGGTTAATCAAGTACTCTAGGACAAAAGGATTGCCTTTATCAATTTTATGTGTTGTCTTTTCAATTTCACTTAATGTCCAGGAACATGGCCTTATTTCCTATTTTCTACCATTCATTATTTTCTAAGCTTCTGTAATGTCTTCCCTTATTCATCTCCTGTCTAAAGCAAACAATTCCAAATATCTCGGTCACTTTTCCTTGGTTTGTATGCTTTTAAGTATTTTTATTTCATTTTTGTACCTCTCCTGATTTTTGAAATGTACTTTTTAAAGATGAGAATTCTGGGCATAATCCTGATCTGTGGGTTGGCAATGGGATATTACTTGTATAATTCTGATTCTTTTGACTGTTTTTACATTTTTCATTTCATTTTCTCTGGTGATCCCATGTGTACTGGAAAGATTTCAGGGGAGTGTTCTCACAACAACTCCCACAAATACCCCTTCACTTACCTGGGCATCCTAGAGTGCTTCAGTCAGCCTTTGTCACTGTGCTTTCTTTGTTATGTTCCAATGGAAGGACAAACTGTGTTTTCTGAAAGCATTTTAGTGGGGTTTATTTTTGGTTTTTAAATGGTCATGTACGTATATTTGTCAAATACAGGTGAAAGGCAGACATTTGGAGTGGAGTGTGGTTAATGCAATAGTGATCTGCTGCCTTTGAAACTAAATTGTCTGAAATGAAGCCCGTGTTTCTTCCTGTAGAGAGGTTTAAATTCTGGCAGCTGCTATACAGTTAAAGCTATTAAATAATAGTATTTTCAGGAGTTGATCTTGAGATGCTTCAGTACCAAGGTTTACTCTCTGCATTTTAAAACGCTTCTAAGTCCTTTTTTTCCAGAGTGCTGCCCAAACCCAAATTTATCTAGTTATGGCTGATTGTCATCTGGGAAAATGCAGTTTGTCACAAGGTACTAGAAAATGGATGATCTCCCAAGTCTGAGGCTGCTTCTGTAACTGGTGGCTTTTCATCATTCAGAGAAACTATATCAAACTTTTTCTCACATTTAAGACCTTTGTAAATGAGGATGTAGAAAAAGCATGATGATCACTAGAAAAAGTCTAGACTATGCTTAGCTTTTACTCCTGATGAAGCGGCATTTTTACATGAAATTAAAGCTGAAAAATTAGGAGACCAGATTGCTAATCTTTTTTCTTTTTTTTTGGGTCCCCAGATCTAAACGTCCAGTGCCAGTTTCAACCACAGCACCCAGAATTGACTCTCCCAGGGCTGTAATTCCCCACCAGAAGGTATGTGACATGTTTATCCTCAGCCAAAGTTAATATCATTTTTATTTACCACAGTGAAAGTAAACACCTACTATAGGAAATAGCTTTTGCCCATCCCAAATAAGTAAACATTGAATGAATGCACAGGCAGCAAAACTGCCACGATGCAGTGTATTAGTGATCTGTATGTTGCTAATTTCTGATTAGCAGAACCAAAGCATCCAGGTATCCTCTGATATGATCAGGTCTAACCCATTCCGAGCAGTTTATTTTCATCTAGGCTAAAAAGAGGCCACCAAAGCTTCTTAAAATATACATTTGCTTTTGTAGATTGTTGGGGAAAAAATATTAGGCTTTGCCTCAGTGTATCAAAATCCTGACTACAACTGAAAAGACACCGATTTGGAAAGAGGACATTAGGGCATTTGAAAGCTTGCATTATATTGCATTCTTGTCGCATTATTTAAAAGAACATGAGAATAAAAAATACAGAGGTTAAGTCAATTTAATGAATAATGGCAAGTAGCAGAGGAAACGGATGGCTTGGTTTCTGTTGTCAAAGCTCGTCATCTTCCATCTTTATTTCATTGACTGTACCTTGCAACTCATCATCTGTATTTTTGGAGGCAAGGAAGAGCAAGGATGCCTCGAAGATGGTATTTATCCTTAGGCTCAGCCACTGGGTAGGACATTTCCATTGCTGATGCATATAATTAGATAAATGGAGAGGAGGTAAAATCTCCATTGCTGCATCTTTACCCCTTCTGTGAGTGCCAGTTTCATCCCTAGCATGAGTATAAATAAGAAACAGTGAAGATCAAAACACATGGGGAATTAGGTCACATTCTACTGGTTTTGGCAGTTCTGACTTCCACAGACCAATTTTAAGTAATTTTTATAAACAACATGCTTTCCAAATCCAGAGATCAGAAGGTAACATCATCCCTGTAATCGCTGCAAATATGTTCAAACTAACAGAAGAGAATCATTTGGGGAGAATAATTTGATTCCACTTTATTTTGTTAAATTTGAAATTAACTTATCTGGCCCATGTATTAATTGAGACAAAAAGAATGTTATTTCCCTCCAGATCTTGTAAAAAAAACAAACCAAAGATTAAATTAAGAATTTATCTTGCTCACAGTTGTTTCTGCTTATACTGTAATTTTTAAAAAGTTGTCGGAAGAGTCACCAAACAGTACTGTGAAATTCCTAGAACAAAAACGATGGATCATTTTTTTCGTTAGACTGGTGTTCAACTGCACCAGCAAAGTAATAGGGACAGGAAGGAGAAGAGAGTACATATTTTCCCTCAAGAACTACACAGAATGCTGTTAGTTTTCAAGGCAGCAAGTAGACATGTCTCTTCAGAGTTATTCAGCAGCACAAGACTGATAACTATCTTTTGGGACCCTTATTAGCACCTGTGCAGGTATGATGAATTTGCCTACTTCCATCACATAAAAGCTTTTATTTTCATGACTCTATTAGGTGCATTTCTTCCCTGGAAAGTGTCAATTTTAAAATTACTGCCATAGGTATTCAAAGCTGTTTACCACATAAAATATTTTTCTCCCTTAACTATCTTATAGAAAAGTTAACTCCACAATCTGTATTTGTGTGTTTTTTAAAGGTCCTAAAAGTGCCTTTGGCGTGAAAGCTATAAAGTCTCCTTCAGAGAGAGATGAGGTTCGAAGGACTCAACCCTTTTCCAGTAGCATGTTGTCTCGCACTTAAGCATTCTGTGCATGGGTGCTTAGGAAAGGTTTTGAGGTGTTGTTGGAGGCAGCCTATTCTGAATGGGCTACAGGCAGTACCTGCAGCTGGAAAAGATATTTACTGGAGCCTTTCTGGAGGAAAAAGGTAGCAACTAGGAGAAGGTATGGTGGGAAACAGGGCATCTAGCAGTATTCAGAAAGGTCGTCTTAGGGGTAGGGTCTCTGGCCCAGCGGGAAGAGGTAGCAGTAGAGTGCTGGAGAGGGGGGCCCTTTGCAGCTCAAGAAGAGTGACATTTGTGTCACTAGTACACACTGGTAGACAAGAGTAATTTTTAACTGAAAAAAAATTCTTCTTTGAGCGTGGCTTGGAAGGGAATGAAGGCATTGAACGATTGGAGAAGTCTCAAAATCCAGAATAGAAAGTCTTTACTGATACAAACAATGCTATGGGGATGTTGCAATAAGGTATGTTACAGTAAATATACTTTAAAAATCAAGGTTTCTTTGCTTGTCCCTTTATTATTTCTAGTAACAGTATCACTGTAGAAATGAAGAATTCCATGACACACAGGCAGAAGCTGTCATCTCCACATCGCTGCTTGACAGTGTTTAAACTCTGATGGTTCACATGAAATAAATTCAATTGCATTTCAAAAAGCAGCAAAAAAACTACATTAGAAGATAATCACAACAGTGTTGTCCTCAAACGTCAAGAGAAGTTTTTCTCACCTTTCTCTGGGGCAAGGTTAAGGCACGTCAACGTTAGCTAAAAAATCTGCATGTGCAAGTTCAGTGTCTAGTTTAAAGCATAAATTCTCTTGTACGTTATTGCTGATCTCATTGCAGCCTCCACTAATTTTCAGGCATGTATTTCTTCTTTGACTGCTATGGTCATGGTTTTTTGTGTTTTAGAAAAATAAGCATACATTCTTTTACAAAGATATAAGGAAGGTATAAAAAAAAACTCGGAGTTCTTCACCAGGGTAGATTTTTTTCTACATTCTGCAAGTAATGCACATTCTCTGCTTACTTTCTTGAGCTGATCAATGTTATGGATGATACAAGTTCTGTAACCATAAGTATGGCATCAACTGAGCTGTAGGGCTGTTACTGGAAATAAAAGTTTGACTGATTTGCAGTTGCGCTATCTCATTATCTGACATTAGTCTCAAACTGGAAACAATTTTCATTTAGTTTAGTCACATCTTTCTGATTTAGTCAAGCCATTCACACAGGTGTGGCATAGCTGGAAGAAAGGGCATAACTAATGCTGCAAGCATTCAAATGACAAGAGTAAGCATGAGTCCAAGGATTGGAACTAAGCTGTTAGTGGGTTCCTGCAGCTTTTCATGGAGGGCACAACAGAGGTGAAGATTCAGCCCAGTGCAGTTCAAAATGTTCAAGCTGAAGCTTTAAGACTAAGCATACCTTTAACATTTGTCCTTTGCATAAAGGTATTAAGACAGCCTCTTTAATTTTAATAATATGACTGTGTTAATCCTTTTTATGAAATGGTACTGGACACACTTATTTCAGAGTCTCACTGAGGATCTCCTAATGCTTATGATTTGTTTCCTGCCAAATTTGGGAACCTGTCTGGCTGAGAAAAAATAGATGAAGAGATGGTTGACTTTGTAAGTAAAGCGTAGGGTGGAAGAGCTGGCTGAGCCAAAAGTTGTTTGATGGACCCCTCGAGCAGAGTCATTCAGTGCCATGGTGCCTCCATTTTCTTGTTTCTATAAAAAGTTTAAAGCAACAGCTGCTTCTTGGGCATGTTGAGAGGTCAAATTCGTTATATAGCATTAAAATTGTTCTCCCATAAGTGCAGAAGGGGAATAAAGACGATTTGTTTCTTGCTTCTCTGATAGATAAGAAGGAGCATTTGCCTTTCATAGAAACTGAATATTTATAAAGAAAACAATAATAATATTTCAGAATGGAAATTGAGCTGATTTGTAGCTTCTTTCTATTCCCAAATGTTTGAGACTCCTCTACATTTATCAATTTTAAACTCATTCTCTGACAGCACACTGGGAAATTAAAACAATTTTCCCCTTGTAGTAAGGGATTACTGCAGGATCACAGCATCTTTCTGGAGGGAAGGAGCCCATTGCTCAGTGTCAGAGCCTCCTCTTCTGGTCGGCTGAAGTGTAGCATCAGACTTGTGTAGTTTGAGATGCTGGTTTGCTTTTCCAGCCACATAGTCCGGGAGGCAGAATGGGGTGAGAGAGATGGGAAACAGGGGAACGCTTGTTACTGTTGGCTGCATTTCATGTGATGTAATGCTAAGAGCCCTGCGGCTGCTCAGTATGAGAAACCTGATCTTCACATTCAGAAATGGGTTCAGAAATGCTGCATTGATCTGTTTTTGCCACTGAACTGGAGGAAAAAAAATTCTAAAATATCCTACCAGGAATAAACTAAATGAGAGATTCTTTGTCCATCACAAAAGGAAAGAGCTAAATAAGCTGATTATTGGGCAGTAATTCTTTAGAAGTTACACAGCTGCTTTCTTAGACACTTCTTGTTTCATCCCTTTCCCCACAAACACAGGGAAAATACCTACCTTAAAGCTACCGCGAATATTAACTTAAATGGAAAATACTGACTGGGCACTGCTGGGTTCTTGGGAATTGTAGGGTGAGTTGCCAGCATGAGGGTATTCCAGCTAGAAATTGAGGATTGAAACTAAAACATCGTTCATGTCATAAAGGTGAGCAAAATCATCAACCATCATTTTTTATGGTGGTCCTATAATATTCCCTTTGCCTACTCTTAGCGTCCAGTAACACTAAAACTATGAAAATGCATTAGAATTAAAGAAATATCTGGTGTTTCTCTTATTAGCAGTTCAGACTGATAGCTTATAATCAGATCTCGTTGCATGTCCTTTTATCATGGGGTTTAGAAAGGAACCCCCCAGTTAACTTAGATAAAAGCCACACAGTTTTCAGAGTAACAACCAACTATAACTCTGGCATGTTCTTTTTTCTTCTCTATTGCCTCTGTATTATTTTTTCAAAAAAATATTTTTTTGTCCCTCTCTGCTAGCATGTACAACTCATTTGCACAACTGGTGACATTTTAGGAACGTGACCTTGTGCATTTGTGTCTCTCACAACATATTTTTAGAGAGAATCTCTGTTTTCCATTCATTTAATAATACTTGGAAGCTTACACTTGGCCACTTAAAGATTGGTTGTTTGCTGTTTTCTGTGTCAGGGTATGTTATGACTGAAGGATGTAATTCAAATGTATTTATTTAAAAGGGCAAAGTCTGAAAAACGCTTTTAGGATTATTTCCACAGCCTCAGGCAGCTATTAATGCCAGCTAAAATCACTTCCTGTTTACTACTAAGAAAAATATCCTCAGTTCATGTTATCCGCCTCACATTTTTGATTTAAAATGTGTTAAATGTATTTAATGTTATGATTAATTATATCCTTAGACCTTTAGGGTGTTTTTTTGCAATTAGTTTTAATTAATCAAGCCATAATATCTCAATTTTTCAGATGTAATCTCCCTAAACTTAAATATGCAATGTAGAAAAATCCAAGAGGAGAGGATAAAATATCTTTCTAGTGAACCTTAGTATCCAAATCAGTAAAAGATATTAATGATAACCAGTAGTAGCAAAAGTAGAAAATAAGAGGTCAAATTATTCTCGGGCTTATGTTTCATGCAAGGCTATGGGGGAGATGCGGGTAAGATGTTAAGATGGCAATTGGAGCAGTGTCAGCTGAAATGAGGCACAACGTCAGTGCAGCCCACCAGCTGCTCTTACAGGGGCTTTCACTGAGGGCAGACTGTGGGTTCCATCCCTTCTTCAGGATAATGTCCCCTGCCTGTCCCTGTCCCCCAGAGCTGGACCGCAGCATGGTGCCAGCATTACCGGTGGGTCTCTTAACTGGGAGCATCACAGCCTGGGTACCAGTTATGGCTGCAGCGTATCTAGGTCCAGAGGGAGAGGCTGAAGTTATCCTTCTCCTGTAGCAAAACCAATGTAGCCCAAGTTAGGCTGGAGCCAGGAGGTTCTGAGATAAACTACAAACTGATAGTATGGCTCTAGAGAAATCTGTAAATTGCCAAACATTCAAATAGTTTGTTGGGTACTTCAGCTATTGACTTTTTTTTTATCCAAAGCACATAACGACAGACAAAGAGAAGTGAAGAACAAAACAGCTTTTGAAACTATAAAATTTATTATTTTAAAACATGTTCTGATGAATTCCAGCCCTCAGGATGCTAGGTTCAAAAAGAAAACATTAAAGATATGTTAAAAATAATCAATATTAGAATCTTGCTATTCATGTTCCAGTCACTAAGCCTTTAGAAGTTGAAAAATAAGAAAACTGAGAGTAAAGGTATAAAATGCTCTCCTGAAAGTGAAGTTTGTATTCCTCTCTGATAAAATTGTCCAGACTGCAGGTAGGCAGACTTCTAAAAAGGACAGAGCTCTAGTCACTGCACACTGCCAGTAGCTGGAAGGGAAAGAGGCAGTTTAACCCTAAGGGTGCTCTGTGCTTCCCACAAAGCGCTGAGTGCCCTGCAGTCCTAGGGATTCAGGTGGTGGTGCACCAGAAGGAGCTTCAAGCAGGGATAGGGTGCTTGAGGCAACACGAGCACAAAAGTTTTATGTGAAACTTCCCCAGAAGTTGTGTGGTAACTTATTTCCTGCATTGTGCTGCTGAAAAAGCAGTATTTTTCTTTTTTGATACTACCTTTGATTTTGGTTTCAGTAAGCTGCATTAATAGCAAATCATTTATGAAACTGAAACATAGTACTACATTTTACTAGGATGAGGTTTTAGTAGAATGTTTGTAATTTGAGCATCAGCACAGACTTCTCTGGGTACAGCTACTGTAGCAGAGATTCCTGTGAGTCGGACTAAGACAATCCAACCTGATGTCCTGTTACAAACATCATCTGGGACGTGACTGTAAGATCATACACTCATCACCTACATACTCATGCTCACATTTCTTCCAGTGGAAATTGTGCAGAAATCATGAGAATAGAAGCATCCTATCTGTTGAGCTGTACCTGTTCTCAGGTCTTGGTCTGTCTGCTAACCATTCTGCATGGCCTAATTAGCATGAACCAGAGCCTATGAAAGCAATGCAATGTGTGGGCTTCAATAACCTGACATGTACTCATGGAAACCAGAATGGCGTGGTTTGGAATCATTACCTTTTTATAATAATGGCATTGACTTTTATGTTTGTGTATTATCTCAAGTGATTCTGACCTCATGTATTTTTAAGATTTCTTAATTATCCTAGAAGTTAATGGACAGTTTTGTCTTTATAAAATTATTGCTATGAGGTTGACTACTAGCAAATGCTCTTTTAATGTTAAGCTTTATTTATTGATTTCAACTAAAACCCAGTAAAAAAATGCTTGAGTATGTTTTGCTTCCCTTATTTTGAAGCAATGCATTTCTTTGTTAAAAATCTTCCCTGAAAGGTTGGGTGCTTTGGCCCCAATCTGTTTATTGCAAGTTTATCAATACATTTAGAAAGCAGTAATTGCAAACGTGTTATTTTTGCATGTGTTCTATGATTGCTCTTTTCTTTTTTTCTTTTCTTGGCCTGCATGTTTGCTACTACAGGAACCTGCTTGGGAAATCAATGGCAACAGAACAACCTTCAGTCCTCTAACTAACACGGCGACTGGGCCTATGGGTAGTATTTTAGAAACCAATGGAACGTTTTCAGGCTACCTCAACAAGGAAGAGATCAGCTTTTCAAATAGTTCTTCCTACTTAAAGACTACCACAGTTAGATCTTCCATGTCCTCTCAGTCTATGACTCCTGACATTTCACCTGCCAAGAGTAACCTAGGTTCAAAGCCAAGCCCTGTCTTGGCTGATGGCAATAGTCCTTCACAGCAGCTGAGCCCCGCAAGGCAGTATAACAACCCTATTGGCCTTTACTCGGCAGAGACTCTCAGGGAAATGGCTGAGATGCATAAATTAAGTCTCAACCGAAGGGCTTCGGAAGGCGGACTTCCTAGAGGGTAGGTAACATGATAAAATATTTAATAGTTCAATAAGTAATATATTTGCTGAAAAATGAATGTAGTAATACCTACCCTATTGTGTGTTTGTCTGGTAATCGTGATTAAGGTCTGAAACAACCATTAAATATTCTAATACCCCCCAAAACACATACACAGTACCATTACAGAATAACTCTTGGTCTTTGGTATCTGAATTGCTTTTATGGATTGGCAATAGTCATCAGAGCATGAGGAGGAACACAATGACTGAATGAGCTGTGATCATCTCAGGGTTCTGGCACTTAGAGATTTAAATGCATGTAGTCTCATAGAACCAACTATCACTGTTGGCCATTAGAGGAGTTGCTATAAAATAGATTTCATCTTACGTACTTTCCTATTTGCCCAGCAAATCTGACATGCTGCTCTACTGGAGTGTCCTGCTGTAATTCCTGCCCTAATGTATTGGCTTTCCCAGGCAAAATGAGTCAAAACTGCAATATTTTCAGTCCTCTGATTTCAACATTGTGTGTCTCACATCAGTTAGCTTTGCTCTTAACTTGTATGTAAAAAGGAATGAAGGAATGATCTCTAGATACTGCCCAGACAGTTTAATCCCACGCTGTCATGGCTTTCAGTGTTACTGTATTGCAGGTAACTGTTTTATTGGTAGGTTTGTGAAGTGAGGAGCTTGGGCTACAGTACATGAGAAAAAGCAATGAGAAACATATTTTCCTAATTCTTCTGCCCTCATATATTATTTTGCAAGCAAATCTCTTTTTTATTTGTGTTTATTTAAAATTAAGATAAATTTCTGATTATGAATATGGGGAAAAGTGTACTTTTGACACTAGGGACTTGGCTGTATGTGGAAAAACAGAAAATCCAGACAATCCACTCGAGGTCTGATAGCAAATGATATTTTCAGGTACCTAATACGCTATTGCAGAAGCTCTTTGCAGGAGTTAAACCAAGGGTTTTTAAGTTGTAGCAAAGCAAGGATATGTCATCCTTGTAAAAGAGCATATCTACATGTTCTAGATGATTCAAGCAGTTTAGATGATTCATTCTAACTCTCTTGAGCACTCAGCAATAACAATCCTAATTAACTTATCTGAAAAAATCCTATCCTCCCTCCTCATACTGCATAATTAAGAAAGGCAATTAGTGTTTAAAAGAAAATAATTTCAGTTAGTAAGCATGTTCAGCAAAATAAGCCTCAGAATTATTCTCTCTTAATTTACAGTCTTCCTGAGAAAAACTAATCCTTGTCTTATTCAATGTGCAGAGTTTCCTGGGATTATATCTCACTATCTTCCTTCCACTATCTTCACAACCCTCCTTAACATCTGCAGGGGTGGGGGTGAAGGGGCTGTATTTTGGGTACCTCAGCATTCTGACTCTTTCCTTGTTATCAAAATTACGACACAGCTGCATCCATCACTCACCAAAGTCAGTGTGAACCGTTCTATTGATTCCAGAGTTGCACTGGAGCTGCACTATGCCAACATAACCTGACAGTGATTGTTGGGGTGAAAAGAAGGCGTACCTACAGAAAATGCTTTACTGTCTTCACTGTGCTGCTTTTCCATATTTTCTGTCTCCTTTATATGTACACATTAGTGCACACCTGCAGCAGCGTGCTGAATTACAAAGCAAGGTTCCACCTTAGAGCAACCATCTGAGGTTATTTTTTTTCGTCTGAGGAGTATTTTAGAGAATTGCTGTCCATCTGCCTGTAATATCTGTAGCACTGATAAACAAACAAGAAAATTTATGAAAAGTCATCTAAATGTTCTGTTAAAAAAATTCAGCCTTCACGCTGCAGCCCAGGAGCAATCTGAAAAGTAGGAAGAGCCCAGAGCCACTAAGTACATTCCAGGTAATCCCTCTGAGATTTAGAGAATTGCACATCTCTTGTTTATATGCAGAAAAAATTCAGAGCTCAATAATCCTGTCATTCCCACTCCCCCTTGAGTGTTACCCATGAAGCGAGAGGCAACTTTCCTACTGCTCTGTGAAGGGTAACGTGGAACCTGTGACTGCCTTGGGACTTGTATCATCTGTGATAGTCTAGGTCTCCTTGTGGGTTTGTGTGAAAGAGTGCACAAGGAAAGCACTGTGAGCTCTGCGAAATCAGCTCTGGACTCTGTTGTGGACATTCTTACCATGTTGCACAACATGAGATGCTGCGTGAAGATTGTGAAATTCTGGTGCTCCAAAACAGTGAATTTGTTACACATTCATGGACATGCACTTAGAAGTATGGTAAAAGCTGTAAGAAAATTCAGGTTTGGGGGCTGATCTTAAGGTATAATTCTTATTTCAGTTTGGCGTCCTTTTCACTAAATGATTAGATTTAATTGTGTGAATTGCTGTTAGAGATTTAGCTAAACCCTTTGGAAAATCCTATCAGAAAGCTAAAATTCATTTTGAAATTATTTTCTTGATCTGAGAAGAATAACAATGCATCTGTTTCTCTGATAGACTTTTACATTAAAGCTTTATCACCCTGGCCCAGGGTGAAAATTAGATGTGGCCTGTTGAGAGTGTGGAACTTCATGTGCTGAAAGCTCTGGAAAGGGAAGTATTAATAAATACGAAGAGTGAGTCATAGCTTGTAACATGTGGTTCTTTTTCATTCCAGTGTAAGTTATTTTTCACATTGTAGGTCAAGGGCAGTAAATACCTGTCCCACCAGTACGTGCCAGGTGGCTTGGGTTACTGGCTTCTTACTCTGTGACCTCTGTGAGCAGCAGGTTGGGTGTTTCATACATGTCCATATTGAGAATCAAGCTAAAATAATGTGTGGCTCTGAACTGGAGAGGATTTTCTCATCCCATGCTGAACATAAGAAGAAGTAAAGATTTACTCTTTTTGAAGGAAGCTGTAGTATCTTCTTCACATCTAAAAAATCTTTACTGAGAGATGTGGCTGTTGAGCTGTTCTTGGTGTGTGCACATAATGATTTTTGTCTTTGAACATATTTTTATATGCAAAGAAGTGGTTCCTCTAATTAGGGGATTTTAGGAACGATAGGGATGGTAGTTCTGCCTTTTAAGTATTATTTATATGTAAGGCAGAGGCCTGGATTAGAAGATTAAAGCAGGCGGCAGAGTCCACTTCAGAAAATGATACTATTACACCATGTTTCGTTGTAAATCAGTGCCCAGCTGTCCTGCACATACCTAAATTGGATATAGGATCACTGAGGTGCTTACAGGCTACAGCTTGTTCCTAATATATCTCTACTGGTTCCTGTAACAGACTGATATATTTGGCTTAATGTAGGGTTTGTGAAGTTAGAATAATATTCTTGAATCCGAGAGCCTGAAGAACAGTAACTGCAGAAGGTGATCTGTGATTGCTTTTCCATGGAAATGCAGAAGGGCAAAGCTTTTACTGCAGCTTTGGCTCATCAGAGTGTTTTTGATCATGAGAAAGGCAGCTGGATGAGCCAATGCAAAAGGAGTGTCTGTAAAAAGACGCAGTAAAATCAAAGGTTCTGGAAGGCAAAAGCAGTAGACAAATCCACTTCAAATGTCACTCTGAAGTATAACATTGCTGCCCAGTATTTTGTAGACACGTAACAGCAGCAAGTGGAAATGTTAGAGCAACAAGCTGGAAGATTCAGTGCCCAGTTCTGTCAACAGCATTCTGTGCAGCTAAATAAGAAGAAATGTTTATTAACTGATCCTGGACTCTCTTCCTTTTTATTTTTCACAAAATATGATTAATTACTCTTCACCCAAGAATATAAAATCAAAATATGGGTATTCTAAGCTTTGAAAAAACTAAGTTAAAATAAATCTCATAGCCCATTAATGCTATTCATCCAATCAACAGAAAGAGGTATTAGTGAATCATGTAATATTACAGCCTGATCTGTTCATCACCCCCAGCTTTGGCCCACATAAGGCCTACGGGGAGTTTTGTATTGGGTTTCTTTGGAAGTACTGTGCAAGCCACCATCAGTTCTTGTTTATGCAGCGAAGCAGGATATAGCATGAACGTATGGTTTTTTCATAATATGTACATAGTAGATGGAATAAAATCCTGATATCCATATCCAAAAAACCACATAATGCACGGACTTGCTTCATTTCACATGGAATAAATTAGGAACGACTATTCTGAAATTAAGTGGCTTACACTAATGTAGGTACAGTCAGATTTAGGCCAACAGTTTCTTAAATGCAAAGGCATTTTCCTTATTTTTAGATTTAAAACATCTACCAATATATTATTTGGATATTCTCCAGCATGTAAAAGACCAAAAAATCAATCTTGCAATACCAAGTCTGAGTGCCGCCTGAGGAGAACAGACTTCATCCCTGAATATTTAGTATCTGAGAGAGGAATATAATCTCTACCACTCATTTTCTATTTTCAGATGGGAATATACTCTGCAAATATTTCTATCTTCCCTCCACTCGCTCCCCCCATACACTTTGATAATAGTACTTTTAGGGATGCACAGCAATAAAATCATGTTCAAGGGTCAGCCAAAATGCCGCGGTACCCTGCTAAGTCCTAGTGGATCAACTCCAATCCTTACGTTTTTTCCTTTCCTAATCATGTTGGCGTTTTCAGTAATACATTTACTTTTTGTTCTTACTTGTAGATGGTCTGAAAAAAGCCTTAGTAAGTGTCTATAAATACATTTTGCCCTTTGCAGTCTAAAATCTATGGACTTTTTTTGTTTGGTTGGTTTTGATGTTGTTTGTTCTCTTTCTCTTCTTTTAGGTCATAACCAACACCGCTGCCAAGTTAGTATCACTTCTGTATAGTGCCAAGTATTTGTGTCATGCTGTATGTGTGAAGATTTGTTTTCTGGGGTAGCATGATCCCTTGTGCTCCTGCTGTGGCTGCTTGCAAGTGGAAGAATTTTTTTCAGAAATCTTAGTGGTACGGCAAGCGTCGTGCCCTGCCACTGGTGCCCAGTGGTGCTGCTCCCACCATGTGTCCGGTGTTTCTTGCTGATGTTCTAATCCTGCAAATGGAGTTGGCCTCTGAGC